ATACGATCATACATGTGTATCATTAACGTTTCATTCTTTAGTTCAATAATCATTAGATTTACATCAATTATTTGAAATAATTTCTTAGAACTGGTAATTTTCAAATTTCTTCTTGTTCAATATTTCATTATTACTTCTTATAAATTGAATACTGAATCCATATGCGTGGGTCAGAATTGGAGGTATAGCGTTGTGATTATAATGATCCCTATAATTTTAATTTCCATTTTGGTTTGAACTAGTAGAAATGGAAGATTCAAATCTGTAGCAAAGTAGATTTTACATCATTTTAAGTGTAATAAATAAGTATATATCAATTATGGGTGAAGCATTAGATATGTGGCAGTAAAGGAGAGGTTTGGTTTGGTAGACTAAATTTTAGTTATATAAGTTAAAAAAAAAGAAGATATTATTCTCTCTCAAATAATTTCTGCACCTCCGGACACGCAACCTAACGTCTTCCCATCAGCATCATGATATCTATCTTTCGTGGCCCCTCTTTTCCCGGGAAATAATACCCCCAGCGTACCATATATATTTAAATTTGGCAGACTGTTTCCTCTACCCCTCTCTCTACCGTCTGATTCTGATTCAATGAGTTTGGGGCTGGGGACCCTACTACTCCACTGTTCCAGTCAATTCCCCCTGCAGATTTCTTTTTGTCAACAAAGTCTATCAATGGCGGAATCTTAAAAGCAGCGAAACATGAATTATGGGTTTTTTACCTGCTTTTCTACGGTAATTCTAATGGCGACTCATAATTAAGCATGCTTGACCCTGAGATAATGATGCTTCTGCATGCTGTCCGATTGCTATTTCCCTTAATGTCCGCCATTTCTTACGCATTTTTAAACCTTGTTTCTCCTAAAGATAGGAACAGACAATGTGCACATAATTTGCATTTTGTCTTCTTCTTTAAGCTTTTGTGTCTACTGAGCGAGCAGATTGAGAGTAGTGGCAATGGCGGAGGCTGCATTTTCCGTTGGATCGCGCTTCAGGACGCGTGATTCTAGTCCTGAGTCTGCCGTTTTCACTCTCGAGTCGAGTTATAGCGTTTTTTCTTCCACTTCTGCCAGTGTCGAACGCTGCTCTTTCGCCTCTGATGCTCACGATTATGACTGTCGAACCTCTGATATCTCCCTGGTAATCTCGTAACTTCTCTGAAGTAACTTGCTTCATTAATTTGCTTGCGTTCTTCTTTCGCGTCTATGGAATGTGTAGGTTTTAATAGCTTGCATGCTTGTGAACGGTTTTCTAATTCCTTCGATTCTTGAGCAGATGCGATTTTGTTAAGATATCAACAAAACAAAATTTTGAGTTAATCGAATTGAGTGAATATGGCTCTGACATTTTTTGTTTGAATTGTAAGATTTTGCATGCATAGTTGCAGTCCGAGCACTTCTCAGTGCACAATACTCGAGCTTATTGTTAACTTCTTTGCTACTGAATTTTTTATTTGACTAAAGCATCTGGAAGAGAACATTGAGGAATGCAAAGAAGAAAACTGTGGTCCAGATTCTGATCCGAAGGCAATCAATTCCTCTGTGGGAAGGGTGGAGCACACTCGTGTACCTGGAAAAAGAGAGAAAATGAAAGGTATAGAGTTAGTTTTTAGGCTTAAAAATCAAATGAGCAAAAAAAAAAAAAAAAAA